CTCCACACACTCACCGGACCTGGGCTAGGACTGGGTCTCAGTATGGATTTATTTTCATTGCTATATTATTTTCTGTTGTTGATTCCCTTTATTTCCCTTCTGTTTATTCATTTGCCTTGGTTGGTAGATTTATTCTATTGGGATTCATGGAATTATCTTCATTGTCTTTATTCTAGAGTGTTTTTCAGAACAGTTTAGAGTGCTGGTTTGGTAGTTATGAATTTCTTAAGGTGTTCTTATCACAGAGTATCTTATTTTCCATCAGTTTTGAAAGATAACTTTGAAGGATACACCAATCTGGATTGGAGGTGGTTTTCTTTCAGGTTGTTTTAATGTGAGGTCCCTTTCAACAGTAGCTTTATACATGTATTCCTGCTTCACTTACTTCAGTTTTGGTCAAATGATTTGTTTATTCAATAAAATAAGAATAAAAGTGGCATTATTGAGAAGAAGTTTCAAGACTTGCCACAAGGTCTTCTAAGCTTGTCTTTGTCTTTGCTCTCAAAGCTAACATATTCCACATAGAAATTGCTCTTACACCTAGAATCCTTAAGATGATACTAAAACCAACTTGTAATTCACATGTAATATAAATGAGAAATAGTTTTTGATGTACTCCCACTAAGATTTGGAATTATTTGCTGCCAAAGTGAAATTTCGTTTAAACTCATTGATCAAGGGATCATACTGTATAATTTTATATTTTTTTGTAAAAGTGCACCATTTTTTATTAGTCATATAGAAGAGCCTTGCAAGGATTCCAGGTGTACACTGTCACACTCAGCCCCCTCTGCTTTTCAACTTCATGTACTCAGAGTGACCTCTTAGGTTTTTTTAGCAAGTCCCTGATAATTTGAAATTATATTGATTAGAAGTGGTGATAATGGAGGATATCCTTGTCTTTTTCTTGACTTTAGAGTGAAAGTTTTAATTTTATGACAGTTTAGATGATGGTTTGTCACAGATGGCCATCTTTCCTAATTGCATGGATTTGAGTTTTTTCTTTTTTCATAAGGTTGGCTAATGATTTGTTTGACTTTTCTAAGAACCAAGTCTTCAATTCATTGATTCTTTTTTTTCTCCATTGCATTAATTTTTGCTCTGATTTTTACAATTTCTTCCTTTACATATGCTTTGGGTTTAACTATTTTTCTTGTAGATGAGGTTCAACATTTGTTTATTTTAGCTTTCTCTGTTTTTCTGATGTTGGGCATTCAGCAGTATAAACTTCCCTTGTAGAACAATATTTAGTGTGTCCCATAAGTTCTGGAATATTGTACTGGCATTATAAGGTTTAGCACAGCCCAGAAAATAATAAGCTCTGTTAACTATTATTCCACTTTTAAACAAGATTTATAGTTACATGACAAAATCTAAAACTAGAAAATGTTATAAGGAAATATCCCAACTGAGTGACTTTTTACCCTCTGGGATGAAAATTTAAAAGGAGATGGAAGAAAAAAAAATGGAGAAATACAAGAGAAAGAGAGTAGAAGCAAGGTTGAAGAACAAAAGGTTACTTAAGCTTTTTAAGACTGGAGAAAGAGGAGAGAAACAAGAAACAAATAACAAAACAAATCCTAAAAACTGTCCACATTCATGAATAAATAAGAATATACAATTAAGACATTTCTCTGATTTCAAGCTTGTCATTATCTTTTGGAGTCTACATTTTCATGATACTTCGGGGTGTTCCTCTGCTGTCACTGGTGGGCCAGTGTGGCAGACAGAACCCAAATTTATATTTTATGATTCCCACAAGTGGGAGTGCTGTATAATCACAAGCCTGAAGTAGGAATACATTGAGGTGCCAATTCAACTTTGAGGAAGTTCAGGCTGATCACAGTCTCTGGTTTTAGGCCTGTAACCTGACTTGTTCATCCCACAGCACTGTGGTTGTTTATTGATGGCTTAGTCTCAGCTCCCTAACCCTGGGCCTCCCCAAGTATTGGGCCTTACCCAGACACTGGGAGCTCCAAGGTGAAGCTAACTTGAGGCCACTCTGAGTAGTAGGTTCAGTAAGCTCCACCCCAAAAATGCCTTCTTGTCAATTACCCTCTTGTTGGCATATTTGGTGTGGAGTCATTCTATAGCTGCCCACCACATCCACTGTGCTGCTTCTCTGGTGCCTTTCTGTGTGGAGGCCTCCAGGGTCCCCAACTATCATGACACCTCTATAGGCTTGAGTCACCTCTCTCATACTGTGAGTTTGTTGTTGTGGAGAATATGCAGTTTGCCACCTTCTTCTGCATTGATGTTCCTCATCTTGCTTTTTCTGTGGGCTCTTAATTCTGTCTCTACAGAACTTTCCTGGGTCTTGGAGATCTACCTCCCTGTATCCTAAGTTGATATGCTCCACAGTCTGGTCTCTCAGTCTTGGGGAGGATAATACGTCACTGCTCTCTACTCTGGCGTCTTCCTGGAGTCTGTATCTTCTTCCTTTTGTCCTCTGGAAACCAAGATATTCTTAGAGTCAATGTGATATTGCTAGTTGAGCAAATATACTTAGTTGGACAAAGCCATAGTTTAGCCACTCAGAGTAATCCCCAGTTGTCATTTTAGCAGAAGATCAACTATTGGTGGGTGGTAGAATACAAAATAAGCTTAGTAAATACAGGAATGGTGTCACATGACTATGATTCTAAAACTTAGGAGGCTTAGGCAGGAGAATGGCCAGGAATTTGAGGCCAGCTTTGATTACATAGTTCAAGGCTAGTCTGAAATACATAGAAAGACCCTGTATGAACAAACATACATGCTATTGAATCAGCTTACTACTAGTTCTTTTCATAGTGAAGTGAGTTCTTGGTTAAGAATAATAGTGTTGAAGGATACCATTTTGTACATAAGGCATTCAGCAAGGGCAAACATTAATATAGGCATTATAGACAGGCAGGGCATGTTTGATTATCTAAAGTTCTACATATGGGAAAAATGTCCCTTGTCTGAGAACTTCATGGTTCTTTGCGTTGTAACAATTCTATTCTACCATTGTCTATCACATTTATAGGCATACATTTTAATTCCCTTTTTCTTGCTGAGTAAATTTTATAGTTTATCAAACTTCCCATTCTGTCCATATATCTCTTTTCTTGAGTACCTCTATATAATGCCCAGTTCTTTAGCAGAGTTATGTTATTTACTATTATATTTTTTCTATTACTTGTGATTATTTTTCTTAACATTTTTTTAATCCCTCATCTTTGTTATGTTGAAGTTTTGTTTATTTCATGGTTCCACTTGAAATGTATCTTTTCTCAGCACACAGGGAAAGAGCTGATTTAGCCTCTGAAGGCCCATAATATTTTGGATTTTTTTTTTGCAACTCTTTATTGTTTAGTTACTTGTCCAAGTCTTTTCTTCTATGATCTTGTTTACTCACTTCATTTTTAAAATAAAGTTCAGATTAAGTTTTGGAAGACTTATTTGCTATGGTTATATACCAGGAGATATATCAGGATAAAAAAGCTAACTTAATGTTTTTCTTCTTGTTATTTTATAAGATTAAGAAGTTACTCTATTAATAACTATTAGGGGAAGTTTTTGTAGTAATACTTATGATAGTGATTATCTTGTATCTGATATTTATTTTTAATAGGAAAAAGTCAAAAGAGAGGTCAAAGTAAACATAGTTACTCTGAAAGAAAACGATAAGGTAAGAGTTTTATATAATTGTTTTCTGATTTATATAATTCACTTTCTGACATACACGTAGAACTTTAAGTAGGAAAGTAGCAGCTAAAATATCTTACAGTTTAATTTCCTGAATTATTTCTTGTTATTAACAATCAGCTAAAAATTTTAAAACATTTGTCATTTGGAGATTTAGAGTCTTTGTAATTCTCATTTATTACACTAAGTACTTCTGTATTTCATCTTAGAAAATTTCTAACATTTGATGGGAATTTTCAAAAGAAGAGAACTAGGGATGGGGTCGGGGTGGAAGGAGGGGAAAACAACGTTAATATTCTTAAATAAATTGAACATACATGTTTAAATGTTACATTAGTTCTTTGTTGTGAGAAACTGCAAAGATAAATAAGGACCTATAATAGACACTGGGAAATAGGAAGAAAATACTCAAGTGGGAAGGGGCACAAGAGGATGGGAGAGGGGAAAAGGAAGGAAGGAGAAAGGAATAGAACAAATAAATGAAAACAAAGCTTTTGTAAATAAAGAAAAGAGGTGTTGAAAGGGGGTTTGGGGGAAAAATCAAGATATATCATTATAAGTACATATTTCCTCTGATGAATGTGATCATTATGGATATCTAAAATGTATCAATAAAATCAGTCAAATCTGTAAATATAAAAAATTTCTAAAGCTTAGAGGAGGATAGCTCGGTAGTATAGTGCTTGGCTGTCTTGCAAGGATGTGGTTCTTTACTCACTACTGAACAGAAGCCTACCAAAGCTTATATTTAGATAATATCTAATTTGAGTTTTGAGGGAACTAACAAATAAATGGAATTCTGAGCTGGCTATGGTGACACACATGCCTGTAATTTCAGCACTCATGGCTGAGGTAGGACTGCTTTGAGTTAGAGTCCGGCCTGGGCTACATAAGTCAGACCCTGTCTCAAAAATCAATCAGTCAGCTTTTGTCATCTATGCTTAAGTTCTAAATCAACCAAGACAACAGAATTATTTTTATTGTTAATAAATTCATATTGAAGAGTATGGTTTATAACAGAAGTCTAGAGAATTTCTTAGTTTTAAATTAAAACCCCAGATTAGATTGATTTACTTATTATGTCATAAGTGGAGCTTGATCAGGACAGATCTACCCATTTGATCCCCTGATTTTGTAAATCCATACATAAAGGAGCAGAGTAGATACGTAGTTTTCCTGTAAATGGTATGGGGGACGGCAGCATAAAGAGCTATACTATGTTCATTGTTTTATTTATTGAGACAAGATCTTAGTGCAGAAGGTCGGTAGTAGTGAACCACTGAAGCAAATATAACTTGCAAGGATATGTGCTTTTTTTTTTCGGAATCAGGAATTGAACTCATGCCCTTGCGCTTGCCAGGGAAGCGCTTATTCCACTGAGCCCTCTCCCTGGCCCCTGTGTGTTCTTGATTTATTATAGAAAGGGATAGCCATTCTTCAGTGGGTGAAGACTTCTTTTAATGTCAGGAAATTGTCAATTCCGGATACAGCCACAAGATGGTAGTGCAGTATAAATTGCGCTTGTTAAGCCTAGTAGAAGGAAAATTTGCCAAAGAAAATTTAACATTTTGGAGGTTCAAAGGGTCACCCCTGATGAATCTAGGGAGCAGAAAGCAATCAAAATTAAGTATTAAACCATGATAAAAGTGGGAAAATGATACAGAAATGCAGCTCTCTGAAAAATGCTACCAAAACTGAGACTTACTGCAAAAATGATTTTGAAGTGATAGATCACTAGAACTGGGCAAAAAAGGTATAACATACTCCATTTAGTTCTTTAGGTTTCTAGATGGATAAATTTAAGTATAGAGATGCTTGGAAATTTATATACAAGAAAGTAAAACATTTAGGAAAAAAGTACATTGCATGGTTCCTACTTTAGTATTTTTAAATAGTTCTTGCACATACTTTCTAAGCCTATGCTTTATACTCTTTTAATTTAGAATCACCACCAAGGGCCAACAAAATAATTCAGTGGTCTAAGCACTGGCCTGTCAAGTCCAAGGACTAGGTTCAATCCCCAGTACCATATGCTGTGCTGGCCCCACCTCTGAGCTGTAAAGTGAGACCTTAGAATTACCACTGAGTTTTTGAAATATTGTCCATATATGGCCTTTTGTCTTTTACTTCATTGCTGAGACAAAATACCCAATGCCTAAAATTAAGAAAGGAAAGATTTATTTAGCTCACAGTTTGTGGAGATTTTAGGTCAAGTCTGACTCCAAGACAGAATGGAGTGACAGAATAGTGACAGAGTGGCGACAGTTTAGGGCAGTGGAAGATAACAGAGTGGGGAAGGACCAAGACACTTTTCCTCCTTTATGTTGTATGCAGGCTACCTGTCCTAGGGCAGGTGTAGTACTCACATCCCCAATCCTAGCACTAGACCATGAACCAGTCACAAACTCTAGATTCAGCCACTTCTAAAAAGCCCCCTCCCCCTAGGCTTTAGGGGGACATCAGTCACATAACATCCTTGTATGTATGTGTCATGTGAATGATTGTCATGATTATATTCATGGAGATAATGGTGACCTAAAGGAGTAAAATAGAAAGTGGTGAGGATGGGTTTTATGTGGGTTTCTACAAAGCAATAGCATTTACCAGAAAGCTAGGTTAAATGCTGAGGCAGTTTATAAAGACATATAGAGGGGGCCGGGGAGATGGCTCAGTGGAATAAGCACTTGCCTGGCAAGGGCCTGAGTTCAATCCC